CCTCCACCAGCCGCAGGCATGGCTGCACGGCCAGCAGGGCCTCCACCTGCTGCAGGATGGGCTGCACGGCTAGCAGGGCCTCCACCAGCCGCAGGGCTTGCTCCACGGCCGCCAGGACCTGCAGTAGAGCAAGGTAGTTTCACAAAAAATATTATACTCGACTAGCGTACATCTGTATATATTTCTTTTATGCGTTTTACGTCCCGTGCTATTTCATTTTGGAAAAAAAAATTGTTGTACAGGTAGGGCAGGCGATATGGTAGGTCGAGGTCGTCTGCAGCTACCCCACTACCGGCCACCACCACTTTTTCCTGCAGCGGATCGTTTCGACGGACGGGGGCGGGGACGGCTCTTCAGAGTTGGGCTGCAAATGGGTGAGATACGAGACTGAATCGTCACATGAATTTAGTCACTAGCTATATTCAATTGAGCCCACGCCCAACGCACGCTCATGCAAGCGTGCGGGCCACGCTTGCGGGAGCGCGCGCGCTCCTCGCGCTGCGGTGCGGACAGGGGCGCGGGGGCAGGTGCGCTGCATGTGCACTGCATGAAGGTGTTCAGGGGGACCAACTCTCCTCCCCGCCACCCTCGTCACAGCCCGAGGAGCGCGCGTGAGCGTGAGCTTAATTGAATACCGCTTCTGTATTGTTTGCAACAGGGTATTTCAATGGAGCGCTGCCCGGAAGTAAGAAGAACAAAAACGGATACAGAGAGGGGTGGTGGGGACGGGTGGGGAGGCTCCCCTCCACTCGCCGCTCCTCCGCGCGCCCGCCCCCACCTGTATCCGGTTTTGTTCTTCTTACTTCCGGGCAGCGCTCCATTGAAATACCCTATTAAAGTCAAATCGACGTCGCATCGACTTATCGTGTTGCCTTTTTCAGATCATCCTGAAGATGACCTTCCTTTCGGGCGAGGACGAGGTCGTGGACCTGAGCCCCAGCCTGAACCACAAGCGGAGCCCCTACCCGAGCCCTGGCCTGAGCCACAGCCTGGGCCCCAGCCTCCTCTTGGACAAGGTAGTTACTACACCCCGCCATCTATTTTAAAAGTTTTTGCAGCGACACTAGACAGAGTGGAGGCAAAGTCTATGAGGTA